GTTTTAGTATGTCAAAATTGACAATTTGGTAGTACTAAATGGGTGAAGGCATATTTAATTAACAATATATTGGATAACTAGGATAAGTTGCAGGAAACTGTGGGTACTATCTTCATTCTTTGCAGTTTGTCATGGATAATGTAGCCGCTTAAAATTAATAAAGCTTAAAATTGATAAAGGCTGCATGATTTTGAAGTCATGCACTCCTTGAAATCATGCATTATTTTGAAATCATGCTACGGTCCTGCGTTTTCTTTCATTCATGTTTTCACACAAAAACGGATAAAAACGAGGTCAATTGACGAACGTCATGGAAATGTTTTCCTATGGACTGTGTGAACAGAGCGTCAAATGAATTTTGCTTTATTGTTATAGATGACGAGATAGTTGATAGATTCTGGACCTTTTTACCATTCTTGATCCAAATATTTCCAAATTCTATAAAATTATATTGGTGATTTTTTCACTGATTATTTTTATGACCCCCTCCATTTATACCAAAACTATCAAAAGACCCACCCCTTTGAAGCATGTCAAAATTGGCTGACCCACCCCCAAATTCCTCCGGCTCACCCCCCCAGCTAAAAAATGAATGCTCCCTTAGCTGAAACTTGCATTATGTAATATACGACATACAGCCATCTTATCTAAAATGTAGTCTTAGGAAAATTGTGTGCATGACATAAGTTTCCTCTGACGACATTTTCCTTGAGAGTATGTTGTGTAGAGAGAGTGTCAGCTAGATTAGAATGCTTGCCATGCTCATAATTTCTCTGCGACCACTTTTTAAATATCAATTGACTTTGTATCCGAAATTGTGTTGCGAGTCCCGTGGATGGAACGCTCACAGGATTGTCCTTGCGGCAAACATTTGCGATGTGTAATATGACCTTTCACCAAATTTTGCTGGGACCTGCTGGCTAGCATGCAACACAGTTGCAACTTGATAGAACATTGTAACTGTATATTATCTGCCTGTAATTTGTGCCACCTAATTAAGTACTTTTTGAATAATAATTGTTGAACATTCCAAAACTTTACAATTTCCTCAAACTGTAATTCTGGAAGTCACGAAATGCAAGAAACAAACATATACTGTAATGAAAGAAATATATTTACCAGTTTTTTTTCAGTTTAATATCTGAATTTGTTGTTGTTAGGGATGTTCATAAAGTGACGCAATGGGATGAGAAAGGAGTGATGAAAATATTCGAAGCTCTCAAATCTGTTGTGTCTGAATATATCAGTGACGTTCAGAGGGTAAGTCAGTCTACAACAAACATTTAAAGCGAATATTTTTGCTTCAATAATTTACTTGTTGAATACAGAGCTTTGCTACCACATTCGTAAAAGGAATCCCCTTCTAATCTCTGAGAGAGTGGCTTATGTGAAAACATTCAGTCCATGCTGAGCTTCTAAAGGTTAACCCATTGAGTGTCAGCACTCTTCCCTTGACAAGTTTTTAAATTGTCTGCCATTAGACAGAGTAAAGTGACAAAGCATAATGCAACTTAACCCATTAAGCTGCAGAGCCTCTCCATTGACGAATAAAATCGTCTGGTGTTAGACAAGTAATAAAAATAAGTGGGGCGCACTGGGGTGCATTGCGGCTCAATGGGTTAATGAGTTAAAAATCACTGAATATAACTAATTCAGTTAATCTGTGGTCGACTGTCATATAATAATATGATATGCTAGTTGGGTAAATAACTTCCAATGAAATAACAGTCAAACATCTGACAGTTTGAACCCAAATCACAGTTTTTTCTGACCAAATCACAACAGACTGTGAATGTGACATAATCTGCATCAAACACAGAGTTATACATTCAAAGACTGGATCTGGCCATATACTGTAATATGCCACCCACAAATTTCAATTAATATGAATAACAATTTTTTATAATTTAGGTTACAAAACTGTTGTTAACTGTTACTGGACATTAGTTCTGTATTTAATTCCCAATTTTTAGATAGTGATGAGAGAAGATGATGATTCAGTATTATTAAAAACTTACATTCAAGAATGGATGAAATTCTTTGCACAATGTCAATATATTGCTCAGCCATTTAAGTCACTGGAAACACACACAGCCAAGAATAACAGCGGAAAGAAAAACAAACCTGCTGTTGCAGAATCCAGCTCTATAAAAAAAGTTTGTAATTAGTAATATACAGTCATATTCTATCAGTTCTAAACTGTTCTTCCTAGAGGTCCAGTAAGGATCATCTTTTATTGATCCAGTGTTACTACAGGAGGAAACCTAAACTAACTTTATTTATACTGGATAACTCTATCAGTTCTAAACTGTTCTTCCTAGAGGTCCAGTAAGGATAATCTTTTATTGATCCAGTGTTACTACAGGAGGAAACCTAAACTAAACTAACTTTATTTATACTGGATAGCTCTATCAGTTCTAAACTGTTCTTCCTAGAGGTCCGGTAAGGATCATCTTTTATTGATCTAGTGTTACTACAGGAGGAAACCGAAACTAAACTAACCTTATTTATACTGGATAACTCTATCAGTTCTAAACTGTTTTCCTAGAGGTCCAGTAAGGATAATTTCTTATTGATCCAGTGTTACTATGGGAGGGAACCTACACTAACTTTATTTATACTGGATAGCTCTATCAGTTCTAAACTGTTCTCCCTAGAGGTCCAGTAAGGATCATCTCTTATTGATCCAGTGTTACTACAGGAGGAAACCTAAACTAAACTAACGTTAACCAGTGTGTCACTGACATCTTTCTCTCTCTGTGTAGCTGATGTTAGACACGTGGAACGAGATCATATTTTCAAACATCAATTACAAACTTCAAGCAAGTGCTATGAAACTCATTCATGATGAACGCGCAGGAGAATCATTTGATTCACAGTTGGTTATTGGAGTACGGGAGTCTTATGGTAAATATTTTAAACTGCCCAATGTAACGAAGTATGGGTGGGTTTAAGAAGATGGTATAATTTAAACTACTGTACATTTCGCAATTCTTATTGATTAGAAACACATCTATTGCGTGATTTTTGCCTTCTAGTGAATCTTTGCTACAGTGAAGATGATAAATTGCGAATCTACAGAAGTAACTTTGAGAAAGCGTATCTGGAGGCCACCAGACAGTTTTATTCGAATGTCGCGTCACAATATCTGGAGGAGAACGGAGTGGAGAAATACATGAATTATGTTAGTATAGTCGTAAGATTTTTGAATAGGGAAACCGCAACACGATGATCACTGAGTAGCCACAGAACAATTCTGAACTACAGAGGGTTTTTACTATAGAGACCTGTTGTCTGTATGAACTCATTGCGCGTTTGCTATACTCATTATTCTTCAGGCTTCGTAGCGGTCTTTGAAATCCTTGAAAGTCTTTAAATTTGAATGCAGGTCTTTAAGGTCTTTGAAAAGTCTTTGAATTGGGTGAAAAATGAAGAAAGTCTTTAAAAGTCTTTAAATTCTTTAGTGAGGAATTGATTATATGATTTCCTAGCTAATAAAATAGATTGATTGAAGCAAGATTTTCGCAAATATCGACGAAAAGACGCATTTTACGATGTGATTTGATGGAACTAAAAAATAGACGTGCTTACACTCGCAATTTCTCGACAGTTGATTGCTCTCAAAGGTCTTCGAAAAGTCTTTGAAAATAGGCAGAAAAAATCTGTGAAAGTCTTTAAATTTTTTTGGTCTTGGTGACTACGAACCCTGTTCTTCTATAGTCTAAAGACTACATGAATAATCTCTCCGACGAACAAGTAGCTATTTTTGTAGTAGAAGTGATTTGTTTTAAACGTGTATGTTAGCAAGAGATTATTTGTTTCAGGCTCACAGTAAACTACAAGAAGAAGAACATCGCGCACAGAGATATCTCGGAACATCGCAAGGATGTAATTCCTGTGAACTTGTGAGTGCCATATATATGACGATACATTTGGTTTGTGTTTGTCTAAACTATCATGCTTAAACTCTGCTCAAGCGAGAGTTCATGGGAGTTGATGAGAGTTCTCGATCGCGTTTGATAGCCAGCTCTTATTGATTCTTATACGTCCTTGTCCACACCTGTCAACTTTGGTTCAATTTTTTTGCTACGATTGCAAATATACAGTCAACTCTCATTCATTCTCGCGCAACTCAATTCTTAGACATGAGAGAAAACTCTCTTGCAAACTCTCGCTTGACGAGAACAAGAGTTGCATAATGGTTGATGAGAGTTGACTGGATATTACCGCGCACGTAGCAAGAACTCGTGTCAACTTTCGTCAAAATTTGAGTCTATGAGAGTGCATGAAAGAAGTTTATCTTCCATGAAAACGAATACTACAAATTGTTTTTGCATCCACATTGATCAGAAGCATGTACTGTATGTGACGAAGCGTTGTTGTGTGTTAGTTAATTCAGGTTTGTGTTGATGTTCTTGTGAGTGATGTGAAAGATTGTATATTGGAAGAATGTCCTGGATTTATCGCTGTGAACCACACTGAAAGTAAGTCTTTGAACTTGTGCTTGTCATTTGTCTTGATGACAATCTTCATGTTCTTCAATGATCAATTATATGACCTGATTCAAATGTTCAAGTACGTGAGCGTCATTTACATTTCACTGTCGACGTTTCGGGATATGATGTCATTATTAGATGGATTATAAATTACTTTTCCTTTGTCTTTTGCTGCTAAATATTGATCTAATGACATCTTGTCTATACATTTTGACAGTAAGTCAAGATAAGGTTTTTTACTATAAAGATAGATTGCATTTCTTCTTAGAATGACCAAATATCACACATACTGTATGCTGTAAAAATCGTGTTTGGGGTGAGACTTTAAGTGTTAGCGGGTGAACGATGAGTATTCTATAGTATGAATATAACAACAGTGTAATGTTTGTACTTGATTTAGAATTATTAAAGATGTTTCATCTGATGGACAGAGTCTCTGACGGTGTTCAGCCAATGATATCTCATTTAGAAAGTCATGTGATCACCACAGGTCTGGCTGATATGATTGGTGCAGCGGCGACTATATCTACAGTAAGTTTGCTTGTTTGAACCAAAAAGATTTCGCCCCGCGCGAGGAGTAGTCGATCGAGCACAAACGTTAACCGTGCACAAATCTTTTTGAGAAATTTTGCTCATGAATTTTAAACAATGTACTGTACTTAAACGATTGGACATCATGATTCCATTGCGTGGTTGCATCATTACGCCAAAGGTTCAGTGTCTTCACCCTGGATAAATTTACATAACCACGACATGAACATGAACAATAAGATCGCATTTCCGTGTCTTGATTTGTTGCAAACAAACTGTTGTTTTTCTCTAGGACTCTGAGAAGTACGTAGACAGGTTGTTGATGTTGTTTAATCGCTACAGTGCTCTGGTGAAAGAAGCTTTTGATGATGATCCAAGATTTCTCACAGCTCGCGACAAGTCTTTCAAGAAAGTCGTCAATGATACTTCAATATTCAACTTAGAATTAGCAACAAATATTAAATCGTAAGTTCTAATATACAGTACTTTTAGATAACATTGCATGAATCAAACAGCGTTCTCAGGGATGATGACACCATGACTACTGCAAACGCTTGTTCAAATTATTTTGTCAATATTTAGTTGTTTCTCGCAGGAGCGCCAGCAAGACTGTCCCCGAGTCAAAATGTCCTGAGTTGCTGGCAAACTTCTGCGACATGTTGCTAAGAAAAAGTCCTTACAGTAAGAAATTAACGTCGGACGAAATTGAAGCAAAATTGAAAGATGTTGTAAGTTTGAAGTTTCCATCTCGCCTTGTCATGATAAGCGCAAACGTTTGATGTTTGTTGATATCTTTTTAGCTCCTGGTTTTAAAATATGTGGATAATAAAGATGTTTTTATGAGGTATGTGTTGTTGAAACATTAGCAGGTCAACATACTAGAATAGAACAACATCACTCTCTCCAAGGTAGCGCAAATGTTGCGGGCCTTCAAGTACAAGACTATTACTGATGAAAAGAATGAAGATTATTTTCTCACTCTGATAAATGCAGGTTCACCACCATCAGCTGTACGATAGTGTTTAGTGAAACTGATGATTGGTGAGCTACACTTACAGGCAGCGGATGATGGTCAGCTTGAAAAATGTACTGCTGGTTGACCAGTGTCTGTTGTTCTTCTTGAAAGCCAGCTATAGTCGTGTTTACCTTCACAGTTTGTCACTGAGTTAGCTCAAATGGAGGATACGGAATGTTGATTTGGGAATCAGCCATTTTCCTTCAGTTTTTACGAGCCAAAGTAACGAGTTGTATTTATTTCTCAGGTATCACAAAGCACATCTTACGAGAAGGTTGATATTAGATTGTTCAACTGACAGTGATTTAGAAGAAAATGTGGTGGAATGGTTAAGAGTAAGTTAGTGTACTTAAGGAACTTGAAATTCTTGTTTTTCTGGTTGTTCGATCGTGTAATCTCTAAATCCTATTGAATATTTTATCACAAAAGGTTAAGCTACTTCACTTTTCAATTATGTATGAACTGATGATCATGTTAACAATCAGTTTGACGCATTAGTTTATGGGTTTTTTAAACTCTTGATCGTAGATTGGGCGATTAACAATATTAACGTGTATTTCAGGATGTGGGTATGCCTGCAGATTACATCAATAAATTAGCAAGAATGTTTCAAGACATAAAGCTCAGTGAAGATCTTAATCAAGCTTTCAAAGACGTTTACAGAGCTCGTTCTGCCATGGCAGGTGAGATATTGCTTTTGGCAGTTCCCTCAACAATCCAAGTGACTGTACAGTACAATGAGATTCTCGTATACTTTGCTAAAAAGCGACCTAAACGACGGTCAGAGAGGCTAAGGCCTAAGAAATGCATATTGGATTTGATAAGGGTTCCGGAAAATTGGATTTTATAAGAAAATTGTCAACCCTTTGTCTGCTTAACTGAGGCTTTTGCTGCCATTATATCCCAAGCGCAGTGTTGAACAATTTTAAAAAGACTGCAAATATTTTTTGTTTAGATTCTGTCGCAATTAAGATACTAAATGCAGGAGCTTGGGCCCGCAGTTCAGAGAGGGTAGCGGTATCTTTGCCTACCGTAGTAAGTATATGACTTGACATGGGAAAACCACGTGTTGTGTGTATTATTGCAAAGCTTTCTAACCGCCAGCCAGGACCCTGTGGATGTAAATAATATAATTTCCTTGATTTTCTCTAGCTAGAAGATTTCATTCCTGAAGTGGAGGAATTTTATCTTCGTATTCACAGCGGTCGTAAACTGCAATGGATTCATCTCATGTCAAATGGAGTGGTATGATTCCTTCTTACTATCAATATGCGTTCAAATGTTTAGTCACATTTGGATTACTTAATATAATTATAAACATTTTTTTCTCTGGAAAGGCAGTCTTTAATGGGGTTAATCTTTTATTTAGATAACATTTGCAACTAAGCAGGGAAAATATGATATTGAAGTGACGACATTTCAGATGGCTGTCTTGTTTGCGTGGAATGAAAGACGAAATGATAAACTATCTTTTAATGATTTAAGGTAAAGATTTACTGCGGAGAGAATCTCACTTGGAACATGCAATGACCTTTTTCGTTCTTCCTAGATTAGCGACGGAATTACCAGAGTCGGAGCTTCGCCGAACGTTGTGGGTAGGTCTTGTTCACTTGTTAATCCGTGGTATGCTTTTTTCACCTGTCATTCAGGGCTGGCGTATTGAAACGCAAGAACTCCCTTTTCAAGAAGTATAACGCCCTTTTCAAATAGCAAAGCGCCCTTTTCATATAGCAAAACGTCCTTTTCAAATAGCAAAACGCCCTTTTCAAATAAGAAAACGCCCTTTTCGGATAAGAAAACGCCCTTTTCAAATAGCAAAAAGCTTTTTCTTTACTTTCTTTGACTTGATGAGTTCACTTCATTTCTTTATTTAGTCTCTCATAGCATTTCCGAAATTAAAACGTCAAATTTTAATATGTGAACCTGCAGTGCAGTCTCCGAAGGAATTCAGGAAAGATTCGACGTTTTATGTAAACCACGACTTCGCTCTAATGTAAGTTTGCCAGTCTTACAACATTAGTAGTCTTGTCCAACATCGTCTGATATTGTTGTTGCATGAAAATTTGAACAACCTCGATCCAAGTTCAGGCAACATAGTGTTGAAACTAGGCCAGCAATATTGCATTCAACAACGATGGATATTGTTGGACAAACATGTTGGCCTCGTTTCGATAAGCTTTGAGAAAACTAATTGGTTTTCTCAAAATGATAATTGAACAGTTTGATATTGTTGCTTGATAGAAAAAATGGCAAGGTCCAGAAACGTGGTAAGATCAACTTCATTGGAAGACTTCAACTCTCTACAGATAAACATCGCGAAGAAGATAACGAAGCTATCGTCGCTTTGAGGATATTAAGAACTCAGGTTGGGAACTTCTTTTCGATATATTGATGACTTTCAGTGAGCAAGGCTCCAGATCATTGTCAGAAATGTTGACACTATCTCACATATAACATTTCTTCTCACGTGTTGTCGTTTCTTTGTATAGGAGGGCATTGTACGAATAATGAAAATGCGAAAAACAATATCAAACGCTCAACTGCAGACAGAACTGGTTGAAATATTGAAAAATATGTTTATACCTCAGAAAAAGATGATCAAAGAACAAATTGAATGGTTGATTGAACATAAGTACATCAAGAGAGACGAAAATAATATCAATCAATTTATTTATCTAGCTTAGTTTAGGAAATTGTTTTATAAATATGTTTTGAAGGAATGCGATTTTAAAGTTTCTCTTCCACGATCGACTACCAATGCTAGCCTGTGAAAATGAAGTGTGAAATGACGAGCTGTAAATCCTGTATTAATCTCCGAGAAGTTGATCTTTACCAGGATATACATGCGACATGAGAGTTTTGATTGAAAAGTTTCCTAAAGAATTCTCTAAGGTCATTACATGTATATAGGCAATATCTTAGATGACATAAACAGGTGAGCAAACAATGTTTACATGTGTTCAAATTTGAATGAAAAGAAACTGATTCAATGTAAATAATCGTTGAATTTTTTATATAGAGTTTGTTAGTTTTCATTCTTCAGAATCGTAAAACATGTCTGCCATTACAGTTATCCCGTGGAAAGAATTTTTGTCTTATTCGTATAAAGATGATAAGGTACGTTATTTTATAGAATTTTACATGGACATCGAAAATTCAGTCCAAGAGATAAATTATGAACTTAAATTATTAAAATTGGTCTAATACAAGCAATGTTATGACTGTTTTAAAAGACGTCTGGTCTCAATGGATCATTGAAATCACACGTCGGTATTTTTAGTTTTGACCACCTCTTGCTTTAAACAGTCAACATTCCTTCTACTGGACCAATTTTAATAAAACTGATTTTTTGTTTATGTTTGGCCACATCGTTGCTGTATCTGAGTCTTTGATATTTGTTTGTTTTTCATTTAGGGAAGAAAACCCTTCCCATCAAGAAGTCAGATATTAATCATTGGTAACGAGCCACAGTTGTCCAATTGGCCAGCGGTAAACCTTGTAAGAAATCTGGAAGATGTAAATGAGGTGAAACGGCAATTCATCACGAGGCCTCTAATATTACAGGTCGAGTGCGGAAAACATGTTCCTATTGGTCAAAGGTCTGTCAGGTGTCCGTATTGTTTAGAGAGGTGTCTGTATTAGAGAGATGTCTGTATTAGAGAGATGTCTGTATTAGAGAGGTGTCTGTATTAGAGAGGTGTCTGTATTAGAGAGGTGTCTGTATTAGAGAGGTGTCTGTATTAGAGAGGTGTCTGTATTAGAGAGGTGTTTGACTGTTTGTATTAGAGAGGTGTCTGTATTAGAGAGGTGTCTGTATTAGAGAGATGTCTGTATTAGAGAGATGTTTGTATTAGAGAGATGTCTGTATTAGAGAGGTGTCTGTATTAGAGAGATGTCTGTATTAGAGAGGTACAAAAACAGTGTCTTCAAACATTATTTTGTTTTTCTGTTAAGGTTAAACAATCGTGGAGAAATCCTTGGTCCTTCTGATATTGAGTGGTGGCTCACACCCAGTTCTACAGCTTGGAATGAAGCTACTTTCCATCCAGGTGGTCTAACAGCTGAAGGAATTCGACCTAACCGTTTTCTGCAGGTGACATTTGCCGTGTTAGTGGATACATCTCATCCGAGTATCCAGAGACAGCTTAGTGATGGCTTCAGGCGAGCAGAGACGTTTCTGACGAGCAAAAAATCATTTTGCGTTGAGGTGAGTCTTTTCTCCAAACCCGGAAACATCGTTTCCTAGTCATGTTTCCCAAATGTGGACAAACCAGGAAACATTGTTTCCTAGCCATGTTTCTCAAAGGTGGACAAACCAGGAAACATTGTTTCCTAGCCATGTTTCTCAAAGGTGGACAAACCAGGAAACATTGTTTCCTAGTCATGTTTCTCAAAGGTGGACAAACCAGGAAACATTGTTTCCTAGTCATGTTTCTCAAAGGTGGACAAACCAGGAAACATTGTTTCCTAGCCATGTTTCTCAAAGGTGGACAAACCAGGAAACATTGTTTCCTAGTCATGTTTTCCAAAGGTGGACAAACCAGGAAACATTGTTTCCAAGCCATGTTTCCCGAAGGTGGACAAACCAGGAAACATTGTTTCCTAGCCATGTTTCCCGAAGGTGGACAAACCAGGAAACATTGTTTCGTAGCCATGAACGAGAGGACTCGCCATGAACCTACCCCATACACGTATTGTCATAAATGTGGTTATAAAATGACGTCATTTCTATCTATACCAACCTGTGTCCAAGGAGTTGCAAACCAGCTCGGTACACAGTTGCTGTTGCAATCCTTGCGTACAGCGGGTTTATCATCCAGTGAACAATCTGCATCAAACGTCTCCTGGTAATTCCCATTGGTAGACTTCATACATATCACCACTCTCTGTTGCAGACCTTTGCCACAATCGGTTGAGCACTAAAATGGACAACATAGGAATATAAGAAAGTCTATTAGTCTGATATCGAAATTTTGGACATGCCTGGAGCCCTGGATTTACACCAACTTTCTCCACACCTTATTCCATTCTGACGTGACCCATATTCCTCTGCAATGTTGTGTATTGCAGCTCTGTTCATCTTCTGGTTTCGTCTTGTCTTTACAGTGTCTCTCTGCCAATTTACTGCCGTCTATTCTTGCACAAACCACGGGACGAGTGCGGATGCCGCTTCCACACGACTTAGAACACTAGAAAAGATAAAGTTTACACAGTGGTAAATTCTCCAACACGCGTAAAAATCTCACATCTTGTAGCAAGTCTGCCAACAAGCCGTCAACAAGTTGTTTTCGCACTGCTTGTCCCAAGTTGTCAACAAGTTTGGAACAAGATGTTAACAACTTGTAACAACCTTGTTGATATTATCAGACTTGTTGCAAGGTTATTCCGACAAGTCCGATGCAGTCATGGTATAATAATATTGTTACAATCCTGTGTCGTCAACCTTGTAACATTCTTGTTATATCATGACTGCATCAGACTTGTTAGAACAACCTTGTAACAAGTCAGGCATTGCCATCAAGCTTGTTACAAGTAGTTAACAGTTATAACAACCTTGTTGATATTATCAGACTTTTGTTCCAACAACTCCGATACAGTCATGATATAAAAACACTGTTACAACCTTGTGTCGTCAACCTTGTAACATTCTTGTTGTATCAGACCTGTTAGAACAACCTTGTAACAAGTCCGATAATGCTGTTACAAGTCGTTAACAGCTTGTTCCAAACTTGTTACAACAACTGAGAACAAGCCATGCGAACACAACTTGTCGACAGCTTGTGAACAGATTTGTAACAACTTGTTTGCAGACCTGTACCAACTATACGTGTGTATAGGTGCTGCAACTAGGTATAATATCTCTGAACCTTTTAAAATTGTCAACTTATATCCAAGTACCTAATTTTTTTCTCGAATCGTATTGTCATGGATACCAACCTGAGACCAATCCGAGCGCCCGTACCAATCCGCTTTACACAATCCAAGATAACACGCTTTTAATACTAGTGGTTTAGTCTTCCAAAGACATTGTGAATCATCAACTGTGTCATTCTTAAAGTTCTTGCAAACAGTGTTTCTTCTTTGAACACCATGGCCACATTCAACTGAACACTAAATTTTGAATATTAAAAAAAAAACCCGTTTGTATGGTGGTGATACGTTTTAAGATTATGTACGGTGTGGTATTGCATTGGTTTTGTATGATATTGTATGTACTATTTATAATATGAGCGGCCGTGTTGTATCAGATATACAAACTTCTTCACGGTCATTATTTTTTGTGTTTTCTTCATGAATTATTAATGCGTTTCACAATGTAAGATGTATTGTATTGTATTGTATTGTATTGTAAGATATGGTATGCCACGGTGTGGTATTGCATTGGTATTGTATGGCATAGTACTGTAAGATATGGTATGGTATGGTATGGTATGTGATGCATGGTATATCGTATGGTATTATAAGATATGGCATGTTATGGTATGGTATGGTATGGTATTGTAAGATGTGGTAATGGTATGTAATGGGTTCGTATAGTATGATACTATAAGATATGGTATGGTACACTATGGTATGGTATTCTATAATATGGCATGGTGTAGTATTATATGGAATGGTTTGGTATTGTAAAATATATAAAGTGATACCAATAAAGCTTACCATACCTGACCCCAATTTTCCACAATCCATTTTGGTCTTGTCAATTCCGGACATTCTCTGACAAAACACTTTCGTACCACCTCAGGTCTCAACCGCACAGGACATTTTACAACAGGAAGCATAACTGTGACTTTCTCGCCATTTCTATCTATCGTTTGTTTACACATGAGATCTCGCACCTGTTCACCTTCTCCGCATGTCTTGGAACAAGCTTGCCATTCCTGCGGCACCCAACTATGAAGAATAACAATATTTTTATCTCATGTCATGTAGAAGCATACAGTCGATCTAACTTTATTTGTACTGGATAGCACTAATAGTTCTAAACTGTTCTCCCTAGAGGTCCAGTAAGGATCATCTCTTATTGAATCAGTGTTACTACAGGAAGAAACCTAAACTAAACTAACTTTGTTTATACTGGATAGCTCTAACAGTTCTAAACTGTTCTTCCTAGAGGTCCAGTAAGGATCACCTCTTATTGAATCAGTGTTACTACAGGAAGAAACCTAAACTAAACTAACTTTGTTTATACTGGATAGCTCTAACAGTTCTAAACTGTTCTTCCTAGAG